GAGCCCATGCGCCATGTCGGGCCCCGGATATGGTGAAAAATATGCAAGGGGGGTCCTTGCACATTCATGGACGTGTGCAAGGGGCAGAGTTAGCCCATGATAGGAAAATTCGTTTAGGTAGTTGGAATGTAGGTTCTTTAACTGGTAGATCTATGGAGTTAGTAGATGTTATGGTAAGAAGAAGAATTAACATTTTATGCTTACAAGAAACGAAGTGGACAGGAGAGAAAGCAAAGGAGATTGGCAATTTAGGACACAAGTTATGGTATACAGATTGGGAAAGGAATCGCGATAGAGTTGGTATTCTAGTGGACAAAACTGTGAAGGATGACGTAGTTGAGATTAAGCATATAGGGGATAGAATTATTATGCTCAAATTGGTACTAGGAAATAAGTTCATCTATGTAATTAGTGCTTACGCTCCACAAATAAAATTGGATGCGGAAACTAAAGTCAAGTTTTGGGAAGACATGGATGACTTAGTATATCGTATAGGCAATGAGGATAGCATTTTCATTGGAGGAGATTTCAATGAGCATGTTGGTAAGGATAGGGAAAACTTCGAAAGGATCCACGGTGGTTTTGGTTTTGGAGCTCGAAACGAAGAAGGAAAATCTATTTTGGAATTTGGATTGGGACATGATTTTATCATAACCAACACATTTTTTAAGAAAAGAGATTCTCACTTAATCACTTTTAAGAATGGGAGGAACTTGAGCCAGATAGATTATTTTCTCACAAGGTATAGAGAACGTTCTCTATGTAAAGATTGTAAAGTAATTCCTGGAGAAGTATTAGCCACCCAACATAGGTTAGTGATCTTAAATGTGAGCATTAAACTTTGCTATAGAAGGACTAAGATAAACCACCTCCCACGAACTCGTTGGTGGCATTTAAAGGGAATAAAGCAATTGGTCTTTAAAGAGAAGTTGTTAGAAGATGCTACTTGGTCATATATAGGTGATGCAAATACTACGTGGGATGTCATGGCCAGTTGCATTAGAAAAGTGGCAAAGGAGGTACTAAGGGAATCTAGAGGTAAAGGCCCCCCAGGAAAAGAAACTTGGTGGTGGAGTGAGGAACTTCAAAAGGCTATTAGGACTAAGAGGGATTTATATAGAGATTTACCAAAGCGTAAGGATGTTGAAACTTTTAATAAGTACAAAGAAGCGAAGAAAAAAGCTAAGCGAGCAGTTGGTAAGGCTCGTTTTACTTACTTAGATGAGGTATATAGGAAACTTGGGATTAGAGAAGGAGAGAATGATATATATAAACTAGCTAGGATAAGAGAAAGGAAGTGTCAGGACCTAAATCAAGTGAGGTGTGTTAAGGATGATACGGATCAGGTTCTGACAAAAGATAAAGACATTAGGAAAATGTGGAAGAATTACTTTGAGAAGCTTTATAATGATGATCGTGCATTAGAGTTTGACGATCTTAGGTCACAAGGAGAACGTAATGTGATGTATACAAGAGGAATCAAAGTCTCGGAAGTTAAATGAAAAAGGGGAAGACATGTGGGCCAGATGATATTCCAATAGAGGTTTGGATGGCGTTAGGAGATGTTGGGATTGTGTGACTCACTAAGCTTTTTAATGAGATACTAAAGAAGAAGCATAAAGTATTCTTGTCCCTATCTTCAAGAATAAAGGAGATGTGCTGAATTGTAACAATTATAGGGGCATAAAGTTAATAAAGCCACACTATGAAACTTTGGGAGAAAGTTCTTGAAAGGAGATTAAGGGCCACAACTACCATCTCAGGTAACCAATTTGGCTTCATGCTAGGCAGATCAACCACAAAAGCCATTTTTCTTCTTAGGATGCTGATGGAAAGGTACAGAGAAGTCAAGACAGACGTACATATGGTATTTATAGATTTAGAAAAGGCATATGATAGGGTACCGAGAGAAGTTTTATGGTGGGTGCTAAAAAAGATAGGAGTGCATGTGAGGTATATCAAGGTAATTAAGGACATGTGCGATGGGGTGGTCACGAGTGTGAGAGCTGCTGGAAGCTACACGGTAGAGTTCCCCATTCGGATCGGCCTTCATCAAGGATTTGCTCTTAGTCCTTATCTTTTCACCATTGTGATGGATGAGCTGACAAGAGAAATCCAAGATAGAGTTCCTTGGTGTATGCTTTTTGCTGACGATATAGTTTTAGTTGATGAACATAAGGAAGGAGTTAACCGTGGAGACAGACTCTTGAGACGAAGAGATTTAAGTTAAGTAAGACGAAAACTGAATACATGCATTGTAGGTTTAATAACTCAAGTAATCAGAGTGATGAAATTTCTTTAGATGGTGTGAAAATTGAGCCATCTAGGAAGTTTAGGTACCTTGGGTCTATAATGCAGTACGAAAGAGATATAGAAGAGGATGTTCAATATAGGATTAAGGAATGGTGGGTTAAGTGGAAGAACGCTACGGGAATTTTATGTGATGACAAGATGCCTATTAAGTTGAAAGGAAAGTTCTATAGGATTGCAATCCGCCCGGTTATGTTATATGATAGTGAATGTTGGGCCATTAAGAGACAACATATATGTAAGATGAGTGTGGCAGAAATGCGTATGTTAAGATAGATGAGTGGCCATACGAGAATGGATCGCATAAAGAATGAAGTTATTCATAGTAAAGTAGGTGTAGCACCAATAGAAGATAAGGTGCGCGAAGGTCGCTTGAGGTGGTACGGGCATGTCCAACGTAGACCGCTAGAAGTAACCGTTCGTGTTTGGGAGGACATTCTTATACCTAATACTAGGAGAGGAAGGGGTAGACCAAGAATTACGTGGACTGAAGTAATTAGGAATGACATTCTAGATCTTTAGGAAAGTCTAATTTCGAACAGAGCTGTGTGAAAAAGTGAAATTTATATAGCCGACCCCAATTAAGATGGGATTGAGGCTTGTTGTTGTTGTTGCAAATATTTCTCACTTGGGCTAAGCTCCTTGTTGGTTTACTTTTTTTTTTTTCCTTAAAAAAATTTGTCATATTCTTGTGTTAGAATTAAAGAAGGAAATTAGTTGGCAGAACTTTTTTTAGTTAAAACGCTGTTTTTATTTTTTGCTGGTTTTACAATCAACCATTGATATACCAATTATTGATGGACCCGTAAATTGTTGATTGACATTGATTGATTACTTATTGATATAATCACCGGGTTAGCTAATGATAGATCATATATCAGTCCATCACTTTTAACAAAACTTGGGTCATTTACTTAAAATAGACGTAAGAAACATCCATTTACTTTAAATTCATTTTCACTTGTGCAATAAATATGTGTTTCTACGACTCCCAAGATTTTTTTTTCTTTAGAATTATTTTGGATTGTGTTAGATGCAACAAAATGGAAGGTTTTCTGAGAAGAAGAAGAGTTTTTAGATGCAACTTTTATTTTTATAGCAGATCTATTACTCGTCTCATTTTTAGCCTCATATAAAAGGACTAGAGGAGATTAAACGGAAGTTTTCTTTTTAATCTTCCCGACACGATGTGCTGTAGACTGTAGTTTTGTTTTTCTGTTTTGCTACTTTGTCATTACAGGATTCTCATCCCCCTATTTTTCTAGTATTTTATTGTACATTGATGGAAGTTTGTTTCCTGTGAAAAAGAGGCGTTACTTTATCAATTCTACCAAAAGTTTGGGGTTGGCCAAAATTAGTTTTTATTCTCACTCGTCGTCACGTTGGACAAGGTTGGCTTGAATATTTAATTATAAGCGAAACATATAAAATATCTCAGACTTGATGAAGAGTGAAATTGGAGGGGATTTGTACTCAGGACCCTCTATCCTAATAGCATATTAGTTTATTAATTATTCCAAAAGCATAAGACCCCATGCATTAGTTTTTATATTCCAATAAAAGGCATATTATAACGAGCATATATGGACTGTAGGATGTTTTTTGCCATGTTATAGAGGAAACAAAAAAGTTTTTTGCTTATATTTTTTTGACATAGCTTAACGCCATATTACATTTAGGTTTATTTGGGGGATTTACCAATTATCTCGAGAATGATGTCCTTGACAAATTCATGTTTGACTTAAATCATGATGTTCATTGCTAAGCCTTCCTGTTTGAAAGATCATAGCAACATTATTCTTGTTTGAAAAGAAAAGAAAAGAAAGAAAGTACAACCTTGGTTTTTAATTCTTATAGACATTTTCTGGTTCCACTCAACAGGCTGTGGCCACAAAAGCTTTGGGACTTCTGCTATATACCTCAAATTTGGAGGACCTTCGTTCAGCAGATGTTGTTATTGAAGCTATTGTGGAATCTGAAGAAGTGAAGAAGAAGTTATTTGGCGAACTGGATAACATAACGGGGCGTTCTGCAATTTTGGCTTCGAATACGAGTTCCATATCCATTACTCGCCTGGCATCAGCAACTACAAGGCCAAGCCAGGTTATGCTTAGAGCTATATCCTTACCATTTTAGGTTGCAGGTTTAGAGAAACTAAATAAATAGATTATCATTGTAAATTAAAATGGTTGTTTGGGGGGTTTTCTGGGCAGGTGATTGGCATGCATTTTATGAATCCTCCTCCTATTATGAAGCTAGTTGAGATCGTACGAGGTGCCGATACATCAGACGAGACATTTAAAGTAACAAAAGCATTGGCAGAGAGGTGATTAAATTCGACTCAAGTATCTCATATTGCTATAGAAAGAAGCTAGCCTTTGTTCAGTATGTGGCACATATGGTTCAGGTTCATTTTGGCGCACAAATCAGATGTTAAAATCACATTTGACACAGAGAAGAGATAGAAAGTTAGCATCTGAGAGAGAATGAGCGGCGGCGTATTTGGAGCACAAATGCTTAAATGTAAATCCGTTATATAGTTGTCTTCGTCTTTCGTTCCTATGGCAGCGACCTGCTAATAACTTTACTGTTGGTGCACAATTGTGCAATGGCCTACCATCACTGGCCGAGAGCTCCACAAACCATAAACAACAAGGGCCTGTGTACTGTATAGCCACTACGTCCACTTGACTTTTGGCTTTTAGTACCGCAGATGCTTATCACTCATGGTCATGGAGATCGTAGTAAGGATCTTAGGCTTAAACTTTCTGATGTGCAGGATCTCTTACTAGAGGCAAGCACAGAGCATACTTGTTAGGAGGAGAACAGTTATGATATAAGGAAAGGAACTTAGAATTTCAGAGAGGAAAAAGGGGAATTTAGAAACTCATATTTTTATTACTGACCAAACTCTTTACAAAGTTCTCTTGGTTAGAGGACTTCTGTCTCACCAAGAGAAATGCCTCGCCTTATATAATGCTGAGGCTCAACACACAGGACTCAGATCTTATCCGACAAGATAAGATTTACATTGTACAACTTTAGACTTATTTTACAAAGGACAAACTAACTTTTGACAAAGTGGATTATTTATTTTTCTACTTTTGACTATTATACAAAGGACAGAACCACTTTTGATAAAGTGGTAGACATATTATTAAGCTTTTGACTAAGCACACAAAAATAAAAGACTTTATACAAGATAAGATCTATGGATAAGATCTTATGACCTTTGTTCAAGGAGGACAGCTGGGTGCTTCTGGCAATGTTAGGGGGACCCGTTGTAGAAGGAGCTATAGTCTGATGATGATGAGTCAGAGTTCGTTGAACCATGCTCATATGGACGATCATGTGGGTACTACTGTCTGTGTCTTTTGGGTGGTGAATGGTATTCTAAATCTTCTGGGTCTTGGGAATCTTAGAACAGTGTTGGGTCGTAATCATGTTGACCCTGTGAGTCTTGTTGTGATAATGGTGCTTGAGTGGAGGTTGTTACAACTTCTTCTCCAAAGTATCAGTTGTTGTTGACAGTGAAGATGTTGCAGGGTCCATAGATTTCAGTAGGTGGAGCTATCGCAGAGCTGACGAATGGTTGTAAAGGAGGCTTTGGCTGGTGTCCATTTTCTCTACACATCTGTGATGTCTATGAGTGACTGTGGATAGGCAAAGCCAGTATACCAGGTGTATACTTCATGTTGTGTGTATAGCCCCTGTGTTTCTGAGTTGAGCAGGTATGGACGATGTAGGAAGAAGATGGTGTGCACCGGGGGAACATCTGTTGGAGACAAGGTCCAAACTTTGTATCGTTGGAGAAGTCTCGAGACTTCCTTTCTCCACCACATAAGTGGGTTGAACATCTCCAAAAGTTGCCAAAGGGTTGACCTTTCATTGTCAGAGTCATTGAGGTGCGTGTGAAGCTGCATGAGTGGACAGTTTAAGGCGATCTTGTAGAGAGTTGTTTGCCACCATAGGTACCAAATGTCATCTCTAGTGATTTCACCTAGAGGACGGAGATGATAAAGGGCAAGGTATGGTTGGTCTGTATTATAACCATCCGTCAACTCTGCGATAGCTCCACCTACTGAAATCTATGGACCCTGCAACATCTTCACTGTCAACAACAACCGATACTTTGGAGAAGTTGCAACAACCACCACTCCAGCACCATCATCACAACAAGACTCACAGGGTCAATATGATTACGACCCAACACTGTTCCAAGATTCCCAGGACCCAGAAGATTTAGGCATCGTTCACTTCGCGGATTCGAGTTTTCAATTCGAGTTGAGATGTGACATTTTCTGAGAGCTTTTTACTGTAGCAGAAAAAGTTAGATGTGATATTTTTTGAAAGCTTTTTACTGTAGAAATTTAAAACTGAAAACTCGAATCGGTGAAATGAACGAGACCTTAGAATACTATTCACCACCCAAAAGACACAGACAGTGGTACCCACATGATCATCCATATGAGCATGGTTCAACGACATCATCATCAGACTACAGCTCATTCTACAACGGGTCCCCCTAATATGCCAGAAGCACCCAGATGTCTTCCTTGAACAAAGGTCATAAGATCTTATCCAGAGATCTTATCTTGTATAAAGTCTTTTGTTTTTATGTGCTTAGTCAAAAGCTTAATAGTATGTCTGTCACTTTATTAAAAGTGGTTCTGTCCTTTGTATAATAGTCAAAAGTGGAATAGTAAATAATCCACTTTATCAAAAGTTAGTTTGTCCTTTGTAAAATAAGTCTAAAGTTGTACAGTGTAAATTTTATCTTGTCGGATAAGATCTGAATCCTGTGTGTTGAGCCTCAACATTATATAAGGGGAGGCATTTCTCTTGGTGAGGCAGAAGTCCTCTAACTAACATAACTTTGTAAAGAGTTTGCTCAGCAATAAAAATATGAGTTTCTAAATTTCCCTTCTTCCTCTCTGAAATTCTATGTTCCCTTCCTTATATCAAACTGTTCTCCTCCTAACAAGTATGCTATGTGCTTGCCTCTAGTATTTGTGGTAACAAATCATCCAATGGGATCCTGCACATCAGAAAGTTTAAGCCTAAGATCCTTGCTACGATCTCCATGACCATGAGTGATAAGCATTTGTGGTAAGCCTATCCTTGCTAGGATCTCTATGACCATGAGTGATAAGCATCTGTGGTAAGCCAAAAGTCAAGTGGACGTAGTGGCTATACAGTACACAGGCTCTGTTTATGGTTTGTGGAGCTCTCGGCCAGTCTCACTCTATGCAAATGAAGTCTGTCTATCCACAAACAAATTTCTTTGAAGGACTTTTGTGGTGCAAAAGTCTGCTGTGGAGTGGTGTTTTTTATGTGCATGTCTATGGGAGAGTCATAGAGAGCTTAAAATATGTACATCTGGAATCACTAAGTTTCATGTTGATGCAATGGCTTTCTTGTAATTAAGACACAAGAATCATAATCTTCATCCATTATCATTTAACTTTACTCTGTCAAATTTGCAGGTTTGGCAAGATAGTGATATGCTCTCAGGACTACTCAGGCTTTGTCGTGAACAGGATTTTGATGCCAATGATAAATGAAGCATTTTTCACGCTATATGCAGGTGTAGCAACAAAGGAGGACATCGATACAGGCATGAAGCTGGGAACAAATCATCCAATGGGTCCGTTGGAGCTTGCAGATTTCATTGGATTGGATGTCTGCTTGTCAATCATGAGAGTTCTTCATGCCGGTTTGGGAGATAGTAAATACGCCCCTTGTCCTCTTCTTGTCCAGTATGTTGACGCGGGTCGCCTCGGAAGAAAACGAGGTATTGGTGTATATGACTATAGTAAAGGTAAACCTACTGAACCACTGAAAAAATCATCTAGGCTTTGAGACTTTCTCCTTCAATTGTGTTACATACATACTTGAACCATTGCACCTCCAAACACTTCCTCGTTAAGGGAAGGAGCGCTTATACTTAAATTAGGCTTGCTCACATTATCAATCTACTATCTTTGAATAATCGACAATTGAATCGATCTGTCGGTCAAGAATTACGATCCTTGAACATTTTCCCAGCAGAGTTGTATGCTGCATTTTAGTGTTTAAATTCCTCCAATTGTGTTTTCCTGTGATCTGTATATAACACTAGGTGTACTGCAGTTGCTAGATGCCACATAATCTTCATACCATTGCAATACAGACTCGTTATATGTATATAGTATCTAGTGATATTTTTGATTATCCTATTTTGTTTTAATTAAGATTACTTTATATATGCAAATAATTTTATCATGGATAAGAACATGTTTGCCATAGTTTGGCTGATTTAAAATCTTTAACAGCAATTTATGTCGTTAGCATGTAAGAAGATGTTCGTGGTAAAATTAGAACTACTTTTTCTAGACACTAATGAAAATGATAAGCATAAAACATTAAGGTATTAAACTGATAAAAGTAAAAGTGCATAAAAATAAAGGACTAGAATGAAAATTGGAAAATAATAAATGGGACCAGCTAATTGAAATTAGATATAAATTTAAACAATAAGACCAAGCAACTGGATCAACTTATAACTGGATTAATTAGAAAATTAAACAATAGGACTAGATAATTGGATTAATCAACTAAAATAGATGAAAATGAAGCACGGACCAAATAAGTGGATTAATAACGTAAAGTAAATGACAGAAAATAAATTGCATAAAATATAAAAATGATGAAATAAAGTAAAGGGTAAAAGCTAAATAAAACTAGTGAGATTAGATTATAAATAACTTCATTAGACAGACATATTTCAAGTGTACATGTAACACCACAAACATAACTAAAATTTTAAGTTTGTAGCTCAATAGCTCTTAGATTAGATTCTTGACCTTGTTTAATATCTATAGGGACTTTTTTTTTTATTGTTTAGGATAAGAAGAGAGATAAGGGATGTGATTTAAGACTTGTAAGATACTTGGCTGAAATTTTAAGGAGGAAGAGGGAAAGGAGAAGAAGGAATTAAGAGGAAGATTAGGAGAATGAGAGTTTTATGATGGCTCTATGGATGATTGTCCTCCATCCCTCTAAGATGGCTGAGTATTTATAGACCTCTTGCTCCTTAGGGACCTCCAAAACCAGGCCCTTTCTATAGTGGTCTCTTTAAAACCTGATCAGGTTTTGCATGCATACCATTGAAGCTGGGCAGGTGTCCAATACCTTTTGACACATGTTCTTGAGGTTGGGCTGGTGTCAAAGACCCCTTTGACACCTGTTCTTGAAGCTGGGCAGGTGTCAAACACCCTTTTGACACCTGTTCTTAAAGCTATTCAGCTGATAGGGTCTTGAAAAATTTAGTTTTCCGCAGCAACCAGTACTTTAAAACCTTCTTCTGGCTGCCCTCTTAGGGACAGCATTTAATTATCTGATTTTTAAACTAATTTTAGTAATAAAACATTTTTTTAACCCAAAAAGAGAAGATATGAATTGCTTGGTCATGCGAAGGTGATGTAAATACTGTGTGGGACACCGTTGCGAGTTGCATTCGAAAAGTGGCAAAGGAGGTACTAGGAGTATCTAGAGGTAAAGGCCCTCCGGGAAAGGAAACTTGGTGGAGTGAGGAAGTTCAAAATGCTACTAGGACCAAAAGAGATTTATATATCGAGCTACCAAACTGTAAGGATGATGAGACTTTTATTAAGTACAAAGAAGTGAAGAGGGAAGCTAAGAGAGTAGGTAATAAGGCCCGTGCTACTTATTTGGATGAGGTGTATAGGAAACTTGGGACTAGAGAAGGAGAGGAGGATATCTATAAACTAGCTCGGATAAGAGAAAGGAAATATCGGGACCTAAATGAGTGAGATGTGTTAAGGATGATACAGATCAGGTTCTGACGAAGGACGAAGATATTAGGGAGATGTGGAAGAGTTACTTTGAGAAACTTTATAATGAAAATCATGCAATGGGGTTTGGCGATCTTAGGTACCAAAGCGAACCAAATGTGATGTATACAAGAGGCATCAGAGTTTTAGAAATTAAAACTGCATTACGAGATATGAAAATGGGGCAGGCATGTGGGCTAGATGATATCCCAATAGAGGTTTGGAAGGTGTTAGGAGAGGTTGGAATTTAAGTGGCTTACTAAGCTTTTTAACGAGATGCTAAAGAAGAAGCATATGCCCGATGCTTGGAGAAAAAGTATTCTCGTTCCCATCTTCAAGAATAAAAGAGATGCACTAAATTGTAACAACTATAGGGGCATAAAAGCTGATAAGTCACACTATGAAGCTTTGAGGGAGAGTTATTGAAAAGAGATTAAGGGCCACAACTTCCATCTCAGATAACCAATTTGGGTTCATGCCCGGTAGATCAACTATGAAGGCTATTTTTCTTCTTAGAATGCTGATTGAAAGGTATAGAATAGCTAAGAAAGATTTGTATATGGTCTTCATAGATTTAGAAAAGGCATATGATAGGATACCGAGAGAGGTGTTATGGTGGGTATTAGAGAAGATAGGAGTGCATATAAGGTATATTAAGGTAATAAAGGATATGTACGATGGAGCTGTTGCAAGTGTGAGAATTACTGGAGGCTAGGAAGAGTTTTCCATTCGGATTGGCTTTCATCAAGGTTCCGCTCTTACTCCTTATCTTTTCACTATCGTGATGGACGAGCTGACAAGAGAAATTCAAGATGGGATTCTTTGGTGTATGCTTTTTACAGACGATATAGTTTTAGTTGATGAACATCCGGAGGGAATGAACCGCAAGTTAGAACTATTGAGACAAACCCTTGAGACGAAGGGATTTAAGTTAGTATAACGAAGACTGAGTACATGCATTGTAGGTTTAGTAATTTGAGAGATCAGAGTAATGAAATTTCTTTGGATGGTGTGATGATTAGGGCTTCTAGGAAATTTAGGTACCTTGGGTCTATAGTGCAGTGTGAAGGGGATATAGATGAGGATATTGGACATATGATTAAGCGGGGTGGGTTAAGTAGAAGAATGCCACAAGAGTTTTATGTGATGATAGAATGCCTATTAAGTTGAAAGGAAAATTCTATAGGACAGCAATTCGCCCAGCTATGTTATATGTAGTGAATGTTGGGCCATCAAGAGACAACAAATATACAAGATGAGTGTGGTGGAGATGCATATGTTAAGATGAATTAGTGGCCATATGAGGATGGATCGCATACGGAATGAAGTTATTCGTAGTAAAGTAAGTGTAGCCCCAATAGAAGATAAGGTGCGGGAAACCCGTACGAGGTGGTATGGGCATGTACAACGTAGATCGTTAGATGCACCTGTTCGTGCTTGGGAGAACATCCAAATACCTAGTACTAGGAGAGCGATGGGTAGACTAAGAATTACTTAGACTAACGTAGTTAGGCACGACTTTCAAGATTTAGGGCTTCAGGAGGGTCTCGTGTTTAATAGAGCAGACTAGAAACGAGAAATCCATATAGCCGACCCTAATTAATTTGGGATTAAGGTTTGTATTTATTATTGTTGTTGTTGTAAAAAGAGATGATATGAACATTTTTAGTTTGTCTTAGTTACGATAACTCTTTTATTACAATTGACCTGAAAACTAGTAAAACTTGTGAACTTTATTATTTTAGTGTTGTTTAGCTAGTGGTGCCATGACGATTATTGCCTTACGCAAAGGTAGACTTTGGTTTTAGGGAAAGTTAGAGAGGTTTAATGTTAGAGAAAACACAATGAGGTTAAGAGGTGTGTAAGTGTCTCATGTAAATTCCTTTTTATCATGAATACTCCGACGGTTTGAAGTGTCACAACTTTTATATTGAGGGTAAACTACACTCAAATCTTGTGTTCTTATTTGTTTGATTTCTTTATGTGAATTTATTGTTTTGGGTAATATAGAATGATGGTGTTTCATTTTATCAATTGGGTGTGACTAGGTGTGTAAATGGGGTGGACCGGGTCTTTCTTTTTCTTTTTTTTTCTGTTTGCCCCACCCCGCCTTCAAATCTCACCCTGGCCCCGCCTTGTTTATAATTATGCAACTTATCTTCTCTCCGTTTCATAATCAATCTGGAGTACACACCGAGGCATCTAATGTCTTTGGATGAAGTTTAGATCGATATGGACCCAAATGTCTACCACAAGTGTTGAATGCAGATTCTAGTGCGACAGTAGTTAGAGCAACCATCAAGATATCTCTAACAATTCGACTCAAAATAGGATGCTTAATAGCACGTGCCTTCTAAAAATTCAAAATATCAAAGTTACGGTCCCTTCGCAAGAGCGGCTCCTCTAAATACATAGCTAGCTCCGATTTATTGTGTTGACTCCTTGAGATAATGCTCACATATCAATCATAATCTGCCATGGAGTCAACATAAGATGCAGAAGGAAGAACATTTGGCAAATTAGTGGTTGCGTCACTCTGAAAATTAATCTACTTAGATGGCCATAATTAGCTTGGTACTTTCTCTCTAAATCAAAATAAATCCGATGAATGCTTCTGAAATGCTACTAAGAAGCATAATCTTTATACAACCGAGGAAATAAATATTCAATCAGTGTAAACTTGTACCTCGGATCCAAAACAGTTGCAACAGCTATTATTCTGTGAATTCCATCCCAATACTTCTCAAATTTATCTATCATTGCGCTTGTCATGTTCTTCACATAAAGATCATTTGAAGCCAACCAATTTCGAATTGACATTTTTATCTCACAAATCTTCAGAAAGAAAAGATTAGCTGTGAGGTGCTTTGTTCCAGAAAACAGCTTACTCACTTGATAAAACAAGTGCAACTTCTCACATAAATCCGTTGCAAAGGTTTCAATCATCCTCCGAAAGCACGGACTTGTAATGAGAATCTCGTTGTTTTACTGGCATAAAACAATCTTGGTCTATAATTGCAACACTAAGGGCCCGTTTAGTTCGCTGATTTAAGTTTTTAATTCGAGTTAAGATGTGACTTTATGTGAGTTTTTTAATGTAGTAAAAAGTGAGATGTGACTGTTTGTGAGAGTTTTTTACTGTAGTAAAAAAGTTAGATGTTACTGTTTATGAAAGTTTTTTACTGTAGTAAAACTCGAATTTTAAACTCGAATCAGCGAAATAAATGAGGTCTAAGTATTGTGTAGGTTGAATTCCATCTAGTTGGGGACAATCGAGGTTAATCTTCTTTGTACTTTGTTTCTTCAATTGACGGGCAACCCCCTCA